GAGTGAAACAGCAGCCAGCTGAGGGCTCTCAGTGCCATTGCACAACGCTCCTTCCTCCTGCGCATCCACGCCAGCCACAGGACTTTCTGTCCTCCTGGGGCTGTCCAGAGTTGACCAACACCAAGGGAGCTCAGCAAACCACGGCTGGAGGAAGGGGCTTCACCCCCATCCTTGCAAGAGCAGCAGGCACTTCTTGTGTGGACAGATGAGAACAGAGATCTTCGTGATTCATCCCTCCCCAGAGATCGGCCTGGAGCAGAGCCAGACTTTTGATCAAAATCACCTCAAAAGCAAGAAATATATTTTTTAATTTTTTTTTTCCTTAGCAGGAAGCTCGCTGCTAAAAATAAAGCAGGTGGGGTGAGGAGAGAGGGGTTATTTTTCTACTAACTACTAAAAATTTCAAATGTTGCACTGAATTGTTCACTAATTCCTTTGCAGTCAGCAGGTCACAGGTGCCCCCAGGTTTCCACGCTCTGCTCCCACTGCAGCTGACTCCTGCAAATAATTGTGGCCATCACCTCCCACAGATCCCAGACCAAGATTTTGGTCCTCAGTCCAAGATTTTATATCCTGGCTGCCCTTGGGTTGTTTTTCCCAAAGGTGATGGAAGCCCAGAATGATTCTGGAAGGGACCTTGAATCTCATCTCCTTCCAGCCATGACGTGTGACTCCATCTCACCTTCCCCAGCACAAAACTGGATTCCTCCCTGTTGCCTTTCCCATCCTTACCTGCTCCCAGGGGGCACAGAGCCCCCAGAATTCCAGCACCTCTCCTGTGCTCTCCAGCCAGTTCAGTCACAGCTCCCTGTGAGCAGATCTGCCCCAAAATTCGGGTTTCAAACCTAAAAGCAACAAAACACGGCCCCGTGTGAGTAAGCCCGTTCTCACCCCCACCCACGCTGCCCCAGCTGTTCCCTTTAGCATCAACACTTCACAGAAAACAGCCCGGCTTTCACCCACCCAGGCACCGAAAGCTGACAGAAACAGAGAGCCCGGGGCCAAAACCCCTCCTGAGGGACAGCTCTGCTGGGGAGGGAGGGACAGGGGAGGCTGGAGGGCGTGACACCGTGGGCAGCCTTCTCCTGCAGGGGTGGGGATGTTCAGGAAAGCCTGGGAAGCTCCAGGACTATCCTGGGAAGCTCCAGGGCCACGCTGGGGAGCTCCAGGACCACCCTGGGATGGTTCAGGGGCACCCTGGGGGGCTCCAGGATCAGCATGGGAAGCCCCAGGACACCTGGAAAGTTCCAGGGCCACCATTGGAAGCTTCAGGACCACCCTGGGAAGCTTCAGGAACATCCTGGGAAGCTGCAGGACCACCCTGGGAAGCTTCAGGAACATCCTGGGAAGCTTCAGGACCACCCTGGGAAGCTTCAGGAACATCCTGGGAAGCTGCAAGACCAGCATGGGAAGTTCCAGGACCACACTGGAAAATTCCAGGACTATCCTGGGAAGCTCCAGGACCATTCTGGAAGCTCCAGGACCACCCTGGAAAATTCCAGGGCCATTCTGGGAAGCTTCAGAACCACCCTGGGAAGCTTCAGGAACATCCTGGGAAGCTCCAGGACACCCTGAGAAGCTCCAGGACCACCCTGGAGACCTGGTGTCCAGTGCTGCCTTCAATCCCAGCGCCCAGCTGAGGGGAATGGAGAGGGGACTCAGCCGTGGATGCTGCTCTGCTCTTCCCTCCCCAAACACACACAGAGAACATTTCAAGCTCTTCCCAGCGGGGCTGAGGTTTGTGTCAGTGAGCACTGTAATTTCCAGAACAGGATCTCTGTAATGAAGGAACCTGACCCTCATCCCGCCCGGGGCAAGCTGGGGTTCACCGCCAGGATTTGCGTTCGTTCGTGTAGAAAATCTTTGTTGGTTTTTTCCAAAACGTGGAACCCGCGCAAGCCCTCGGGGGATGGAAACTGCTGCCCGTGCTTCACACCTCTGCCGTGTCTCACACCTCTGCCGGGCTGCTTCCCCTCCCGACAGCGGGCACCGAGCACGGGGCAGTGCCAGGGATGGGCTCAGGGCTGGGATGGGCTCAGGGCTGGGATGGGCTCCCTGCTGCCCTGCCAGGGATGGGCTCAGGGCTGGGATGGGCTCAGGGCTGGGATGGGCTCCCTGCCCTGCCAGGGATGGGCTCCCTGGTGCTGCCCCAGGGGCTCCTCCTGGCACGGGAGGCTGGAGGGGGCGGCTGGAGCTGCTCTGGCTGCTCCCACCTCGCAGCGTCTCTGTGGGGTTTGATTCCCTGCAGCCCCTCTCTGCTGAGGAACACAGGCACGGGCTGCTTTGGGTGGGAAGGGACCGTAAGGACACCCAGTGCCCCCCTGCCATGGCAGGGACACCTTCCACTGCCCCAGGCTGCTCCCAGCCCTGTCCAGCCTGGCCTTGGGCACTGCCAGGGATCCAGGGGCAGCCCCAGCTGCTCTGGGCACCTGTGCCAGGGCCTGCCACCCTCCCAGGGAAGGATTTCTGCCCAGTATCCCATCTAACCCTGCTCTTTGCCAGTTTAAAGCTGCTCCCCTGCAGCGGGGATGCTCCGAGGACCACAGCAGGACAGGAGGGTGAGGAAGGCACCTGGGGACCTCCCTCCTCCTCCTCTCCTGCAGCAGGACAGGGCACAGCCCCGGGGTGACAGCGGGGACAGGGCACAGCCCCTGCGGCCCGACAACGGGCAGGCAGCCTCTGTCTGTCTGTCTGTCTGTCCCCTGCCGGCACCCGCAGCCCCGTGTGCCACAGCATCATCCACAGCATCATCCACAGCACCCCACACCACCATCCACAGCTTCCTCAGCACCCCCCATCATCCTACATCAACCCACATCACCCCACAGCATCCCACGCTGTCCCAAAGCATCCCACAGCACCCCACATCATCCACAGCACGCCCCATCACCCTACAGCATCCCACATCACCATCAACAGCACCCCACACCATCCCACAGCACCCCATACCTTCCAAATCGCCCCACATCACCCCACAGCATCCCACGCTGTCCCAAAGCATCCCACAGCACCCCACAGCATCCCACACTGTCCCAAAGCATCCGACAGCACCCCACAGCATCCCACAGCACCCCACATCATCCACAGCACGCCCCATCACCCTACAGCATCCCACATCACCATCAACAGCACCCCACACCATCCCACAGCACCCCATACCTTCCAAATCGCCCCACATCACCCCACAGCATCCCACGCTGTCCCAAAGCATCCCACATTTCCCCACAGCATTCACAGCACCCCAGAGCACCCCAGAGCATCCCACACCACCATCCACAGCTTCCACAGCACTCCCCATCATCCTCCATCACCCCACACCGTGCCACATCGCCCCATATCCTCCCCAAGCACCCCACAGCATCCCACACTGTCCCAAAGCATCCGACAGCACCCCACAGCATCCCACATCACCATCCACAGCACCCCACACCATCCCACATAGCCCCATATCCTCCCCAAGCGCCCCACAGCATCCCACATCACCATCCACAGCACCCCACACCATCCCACATTGCCCCATAGCCTCCCCAGGCACCCCACAGCATCCCACGCTGTCCCAAAGCATCCCACATTTCCCCACAGCATTCACAGCACCCCCGAGCATCCCCCACCACCATCCACAGCTTGCACAGCACTCCCCATCATCCTCCATCACCCCACACCGCGCCACATCGCCCCATATCCTCCCCAAGCGCCCCACAGCATCCCACATCACCATCCACAGCACCCCACACCATCCCACAGCACCCCATACCTTCCAAATCACCCCACATCACCCCACAGCATCCCACACTGTCCCAAAGCATCCCACAGCACCCCACACCATCCCACATTGCCCCATATCCTCCCCAGGCACCCCACAGCATCCCACACTGTCCCAAAGCATCCCACAGCACCCCACATCATCCACATCATCCACAGTACCCCCCATCATCATCCTCCATCACCCCATACCCTCCCAAAGCACCCCCCATCACCCCCAGCCCCAGCCCAGGGGGACACGTGCTGGGGAGGGGAGTCCCTGTGCAGCTGGCCCCGGGACAGGGATGTTGTGTCCCCACAGAACAGCCAGGGGAGCTCAGCCTTTCTGGTGGAAAAAAGAGCAATTTTAGGACACAGGGAGAGCGGCTGGAGCACTGGGGGGGTTCTTCACAGCCACACAAGCAACAGGAGAGACGGGGTGACTCTTGAAGTGTCTTTAATCCAAAGGACTGAAGAGCAGACTGGGAAGATTAGTATAAGCCAACAGACAAAAATAATTAAAAAAATTAAAAAAAAAAAAAAAGAGGGGGGAAAAAAAAACAGACAAAAATAATTAAAAAAATTAAAAAAAAAAAAAAAGAGGGGGGAATAAAAACCAGTTTTCAAAACAAATTAAAATTCCATACAGTGTCTAAAAAGATCACCTAAAAACTAAACATTGCCTTAAAAAATTGTTTTTTCCCCATTCAAACACATTTAACGAAGTGAAACATCGTGACAAATAATAATAATCATCATCATCATCATCATCATCATCCATGGACTAAAGACTTCAGAGCAGCTGCAGGAGCCACGCTGGGGGCACAGCAGGGAGGGGACAGTGCTGCCAGCCTGGCTCAAGCTGTGCCACCTCCACCCCTGCCCTGGCACCCCCTGTGCCCAGGGACCCCCCCAGGGCAGCAGCACCTGGCTGGGGACGGGGTGAGGGGGGGGCACATCCCTGCAGAGCTGGGGGGACAGCACAGCCCCCCCCGAGGTCAGAGCTGCATTCCAGGCCACGCAGGGGCAGCCAGAGCAGCTGCAGGCCCACGGACAGACACACACCCCACACGGACAGACAGACGGCGCTGCCAGGCAGAGCCCCAGGGAGGGCTGGGGCGCTGCTTTTTTTGGCTCCTGTGCTCGATTTGGTGGCCACAGGGACCCCCCCACCCAGGGCAGCAGGACAGGGGGGAGGGCAGCTCTCCTTCCCTGGAGCCTGTCTCTAGCCAGCATCCACACAGGGTTCAGCTCTACAGTAGTTTTTAAAAAATATTTATATGTTATATACCCTAAAAAGGTCACCACAGGAGTTTCCATGTCTTTGGAAGGAAGGAGGAGGGAAAAGAGGAAAAAAAAATATATATATAAATCAAAACTGTTTCACAAAAGAAAAATAAAAATCCAATTATTGGTTGCGTTCACCTACAGGACAAAAAAATCCCTGGCTGCAGGTGTGGATCTGAGGGGGCATCTCACCACCTGCTCCAGAAAGGTCAGAAACACAGGTGAGTAGCTAAAAATAACTAGTCTGGTATAAATGTCTGAATTCCATGCGCTCGATAGAACAGTCTGTTTCTTTTTGTCTTTTTTTTTCCTTAAAAAATATATATATATATAGTTATTGCTTTCTGGAGGGCTGGCAGGGCCCTCAGTGGGGCAGCGTGGTGGGCTCGGGGGGGTTGGCTTTCTTCCTCCTCTTCATCAGCAGAGGGTTCGAGGAATCCTCGATTTTCTTGATCTTGATTTGTTCGTAGTCCACCCTCATGGTGGCCAGGGCACTGGTCATCTCCTCCTGTGGGCAGGGGGCACAGAGCCATCAGCAAAGCCCCCCCAGGGTGGAACAGGGGTCTCCTCGAGCCAGGTCTCAAAGCTCTTGGAGATTTATTTCACACCCAAGATAACCCAGCTACCTCAGAAGGCATAAAATCAGCAGGATGGCTTCTGTGGCGGTGTTGGAAACAGAAAAGTTTTAATAAAAGGCAAAATAACAAAACTCTTTACAGAGAAAAACCAATCCAGGTGCAAGAGGTTCTTGCTCCTGGTAAAACACCTCACAGAAGCAATTAGTTCCTTTGTTCTCTTATTTTTCTATTGCTTAGATGTGATTTTTTGGCTCCTGTCCAATTAGCTACCCATAAGTTTGAGGTGAAGACCCCCAGGTCCTAGGTGGTATCTTTTCACCTAACTGAGGAGAGAAACTGCTGGGCTCTTTTCCTTTTTGAGGAGACAAAGGACAGTTTTGTCACTCCCTCAAGAAGGGGCACATTCCTACCCCAGGGTCCCCAGAGCAGCTGGAATAAACTGCAGCAGGGCCTGAGTGTCCCACTGCCACATTTTCCAGCTCCCTCCCAAGCACAGCTCTGCCCCGGAGCCAGCACGCCCACACCAAACTGGAATCATGGAATTGTTCAGGCTGGAAAAGCTCTCCAAGGGGATTGAGGCCAAGCCCTGTGAGGGTGAGGAGGGGCTGGCATGGCATTCCCAGAGCAGCTGTGGCTGCCCCATCTCTGGCAGTGCCAAGGCCAGGCTGGTTTGGAGCAGCCTGGGGCACTGGAAGGTGTCCCTGCCCTGGCATTTGAGGTCCCTTCCAACCCAAACCATTCTGTGATTCCATGGTTAACCCAACACAGCCACTCCACACCACACCATGTCCCCAAGTGCCACATCCATGCAGCTTCTGAACACTCTTAGGGACAGCGAACGAGCCTGGTCTGCCACACCACAGGAGAGGGCATTCCCCAGATGACAGAGGGGTGCAGAGCTTGCAGACAGGGACAGAGAGAGGTTTTACCTTCACATCCTCCCACAGGTCCTTCTCCTCCTTCAGCACACGGCTGGTGTGCAGCGGGGTCTGGGGCACCTGCATGGATTGCTGCCAGGAGAGGGGAGGGGCGTGAGCTGGGAGCCACAGGCAGCCCACCCCATCCCATCCCATCCCATCCCATCCCATCCCATCCCATCCCATCCCATCCCATGGACCCCATCCTATCCCATGGAACCCATCCCATCCCATGGATCTTATCCCCATTATCCCATCTCATCCCATGATTCCCATGATTCCCATCCCCATGGATCCCATCCATCCCCCCCCATCCCATCCCACCCCATCCCATCCCGTGGATCCCATCCCATCCCATCGATCCCATCCTATCCCATGGATCCCATCCCATCCCATCCCATCCCATGGATCCCATGGATCCCATCCCACCCACCATGATCCAGGGGTGGTTCATGAACTCTGTTATTGTCATGCGCTGGGTCGGGTCTGTCTTCAGCAGGTTTCGGATCAGCTGCTTCACTGCAGGGGTTGGGGCAGGGTCAGGGGCCAGCAGCTCCTGGGGGACTCACCTGAGCTCCAGCCCCAGCCCCAAAACCCCTCCCGAGTGCCCCACACCTGACCCTGCACAAACCCTTCAGCAAAAGCCTCTCCAGCAGAGGTGGAGATGCTGAGAGGTGAGCCCTGACACAGCCAGGGCTTTGAGCTGCTCGCAGCCCTCCAAAGGAGACCTCAGCCTGGGCACAGCACCCGGGGACCACGTTTACCTTCCTCTGACACCTCGGACCACTCGGGGTTGGGAAACTCGTACTGGCCCATTCGGATCCGCTTCTTCATGCCAGGAGAGATGGCCAGCCCGTGGTTGGAGTAGAAGGGGGGGTACCCGCACAGCCTGCACCAGGAGGGGAAACAGAGTCGATGTGCCACCCCAAAAACCTCCCCGGGGGCACCAACAGGGCACAAGGCAGTGCCAGGAGCAGGAGGGAAGCCTCAGACTTACAGAATATACATGATGACACCGAGGGACCACATGTCACAGGACTTGTCGTACTTCTCTGGGCCCAGCACTTCTGGGGCTGGTAAAAACAGAAAGAAAATCCTAAATCTGTGTGTCAGCACCGGGTGAGAGGGCTCTGACAGACACCAAGAGCCACTGTGGGAAGCGCTGCTGGAGCAGCCCCCAGCTCCCTGCTGCAGCCTCCGGGCTGGATGCAGAGGTGATGGGGCTGCTCCAAACCCCCCAAACCCTGCAAACCCCCAAGCCCAGCCCCACAAGCACTCACCCACGTAGTAGGGCGTGTAGCAGGGCGTGGCCAGGGAGTTGTGCGTGGTGGTTTCCTTGGCAAAGCCAAAGTCGGTGAGTTTCAGCACGGCGTTGGGCCGCTTGGACGTGTACAGGAGGTTCTCTGGCTGGGAACACACAGGGGACAGGGAGTGAGCTCCATGCTCACAGGGAGGGGAGTAATGTGCTCTGACTCCATGATTTCAGGAGGCTGAACAAATGCTTTCTTATATAATTTTATATATATATATATATAAAATATATATATATATATAATAGAGTTTCAGCACGGCGTTGGGCCGCTTGGACGTGTACAGGAGGTTCTCTGGCTGGGAACACACAGGGGACAGGGAGTGAGCTCCATGCTCACAGGGAGGGGAGTAATGTGCTCTGACTCCATGATTTCGGGAGGCTGAACAAATGCTTTCTTATATAATTTTATATATATATATATATATAAAATATATATATATATATAAAATATATATTATATATTATATAATATACATAATAAATATATATTATATAATCATATAATATATATTTTATATATATTCTATATTTATATATAATATTTTGTATCATATTTTATATATTAGTATATTATATTTATTATACAATTATATAATGCTTTATACGCATTATAACTATATAATGCTTTATTATTACACTAATACTATCTATTAAAACTATACTAAAGAGATACTGTATGTGAAAAATGCGTATTTTATGATTGGCTTTTCGCAAATGTTAAAATGAATATTTTATGTGTTACGTTAGGAAGTTATGCTGTGTTAATTTTCTTAAGTAGTGTGGCAAATATAGTTTTAGGTTATGACAATGTTAAAACAGAAACTATGCTATGTAAGATCCTTTTTTTTAAGAGAGGACTCGCACTGAGATAACAGCCACAGGACACCTAAATCTTTCAGAAGAAAAGAATTTATTGCTCTCTTATCAGAAGAAACTAACTTCTTCCCACCTCCCTCAGCCCTGAAGATGCCGTCAGGATTCAGAGGAAGAAGCTGACACTGACCAGACAGAATCCCTTGTTTGAATGGAATTTATGCATCATGTATGAGGTGTATGAATATGCAACAGGCTGTTGCTTTTAAGGGTTAATCCTCTGTTAACGGGTTCCTTTTTTGGGCTTATTTTGCCCAGAAAGAGGTACCTGGACTGGCTGTAACTCTTGTTTTTCATTGTCTTGTATTGTCCTAAATCCTAATTGTCCAAATTTTTATTACTCTAATTATAGTATTATTTTTATAACCATTTAATTACTATTAAGGTTTTAAAATTCTAAAAAGAAGTGAGTGGCGTTTTTCACACTATACTACAAAGATACTACACTAAAAGGATACCACACTAAAGAGATGCTACAGAAAAACCCGTGACTGTAGAGATGCTACAGAAAAACCCGTGACTGTCTCCAGCCAGCCACCACACAGCTTTTTTCTAATCAGCCAACCAGTCTCAACAACCATCTTCTCCAGTAAACAATCTCCATAACCCATTCCTCATGTGCCCAACAACAGGCGCAGCAAGCAGAGGTAAGAATTGTGTTCCTCTGAGCTTCCCACTGCCCTCCCCAGCAAAAACCCTGGGAGAGGGAACGGTGTCTCTGTGTGTTGAATGTGAATGCCACGTGGAGCAGCAGGGCCGGGCCAGCCTGGCCCTGGCAGTGCCAGGGGGCTCAGGGTGGTACCTTCACGTCCCGGTGCGCGATGTTGATCGAGTGCAGGTACTGGATGGCTTCCCCAATGCTCTTCATGATCTCCGAAGCCTCTGCAGCAGCAAAGAAACCATCAGAAGCCAGTTTAAAAGGGCACTGCTCCCTGGGGAACTCTACAAACCAGGGGCCAAAGAAGCTGGCTGAGGTCAAAGGGGCTTGCTCTGCTTGAAGTTCCCCTTTCCGTGGAGTCTCTGCCGCTCCCCATCCCTGGGTAAGGAGCCTGCAGCTCCCAGAATGTCCAGGGGAAGGGATGGGGCAGTCCAGCCCCTGGCCCTAATAGCCAGGAGGGGCTTGCACAGTTTAGGACACCAAGCAGCAAGGAAGCCAGCTGGGAAAGGTTTGCCCTTGGGATGGGAAGTCAAGGGGACAACGGGGTCCGAGTTTGGGTTATGTGGTTGTTTTTCCTGGCCAGAGGAGTAGAGGGAATGAGATTAATGAGATCTGTAAGAACCACAGCCCATGGACTTAATTTTTTGAGGGAGGTGGGTGTTTCTGACAGGAGTGGGATGGACAGAGTGTGGGAGCAGCTGAGAAAATACCCCCTAAGCCCCTTCTCAAGTAAACATGAAAAGCAGGGCCCCTTGCACCCACATCCTCCTTCCCTGAGTGCAGAACTCTGCTGGGGATTCAGAAGGGTCCCTGAGGGGATGGAGGGGACTGAGAGGCCAGCAGGAGGTGGGCTCCATACCCCGTTCTGTGAAGGCCTGGTCTCCCCTGTCCTGAATGCGGCTGAAGAGCTCCCCGCCATCCAAGCTGGAAGGGAAGAGCTGCTGTTACACACCTCACCCCGCCCCAAGCTGCACCAAACCCTCTGCTGCAGAGCAGGGAACAATCCCCTTCGCCATCCAAGCCTTGGGTTGGTGCTTCTGGGGCGTTTCAGAGCCTCCTCCTTCCCGCAAGGAGCGGAGCTCTGAGCAGGCGTGGCCACCCCAGCAGCCCACAGAAACACATTTACAGTAAAGGCAGCAAGTGTGGCTTGAAGTGGGTGAGAGCACTCCCAGCACACGTGGCCTCCTTTTGCTCACAAGCCAACTGCCTCAGCAGCACCATGACCCAGCACAAAGTGCTGAGCAAAGCTCGGGGCACGGTGAGATAGCAGCAGTGTCACAGCAGGCTCCCCAGGCTGGGACACAGAGGCTGGACCCCACTGCAGCACGGCCAGGTCCTGTGGGAGGTGTTCAAGAACTCTGGTGGGGTTCCCTCCCCAGGTACCCTCAGGGAAAAAGCAGCTCCCACAGAAATCAGTATGGGAGAATTCTCCATGAGAGCAGGGATAATGGCACTTCCTGCCCCTGCCTTATCTGCCCGAAGCAGGAACAGTTTGGCTTTCCCAGAGCTGATAGCATCTCCCTGACATTTACTGACATCTGCAGCAGCAATAGCCTGCAGCCCTGGGGACCCTCTGCTGCACAGAGCCTGGGAGGAGGGATCCAGGGCAGTCAGAATGGATCCACAGCCTGTCAGGAGGGATCCAGGGCAGTCAGAATGGATCCAGAGCCTGTCAGGAGGGATCCAGAGCCTGGGAGGAGGGACCCAGAGCCTGTCAGGATGGGATCCAGAGCCCATCAGGAGGGATCCAGAGCCTGTCAGGAGGGATCCAGGGCAGTCAGAATGGATCCAGAGCCTGTCAGGAGGGATCCAGAGCATGAGAGGACAGATCCAGAGCCTGTCAGGAGGGATCCAGAGCCTGGGAGGATGGAAGCCAAATCCTGCCTTGCCATGGGTGTTACCCCAGAGCATCCCTCGGTCACACAGACAGTCCTGGGGACTCTCCTCCTACCCCTCAGCCATTCTTTCTTTCTTTCCCCACTGCCCCCTCTTGCCCATCCCTGGCTGCCCAGAGTGCCAGGGCTGTTCTCAGGTGCCCGTTTCCCCACAGGAGCTGCTCTGGGGGCTGCTGTGCCACGTGCCCTGGCACTGCTCCTGCACCCGCTGCCCCCCCGGGCGATCTACCAGCTTGCCAGAGGAGAGGTTTTGGCAAGGAAGCTGCATCAAATCACAGCTGCGGTTGGGATGTGGTTTCAATACTTTCCCCTTCATCCCTCCTCCTCGTCCCCAGGTTAATACCAAGCTCCTACCCGAAGCAGAGCTGCAGGCGGTGCCAGGGCAGCACCAGCAGTGCCAGGGCAGCACCAGCAGTGCCAGCTCGGTCACTGCCCCACCGCAGCCTGCCAGGAACCTGCTGCCTAGCCCAGCTTTTGCTGGCCAGAGGCAGTTTGGTTATGACCCACCTGTGAGAACCACAGGCCCCGAGCTGAGCGTTTTCAGGATGACTCAGAGCCAGCAGCCCTCGCTGTCCCCGTCCCCCCAACACCATCCCCACAGCTGCATCCCCCTGGCATCCCCCGGGCTGGAAGGTGCCCACCCCGCTTCTGGCAGCCCCCCAGCAGCCTGCAGTGCTCCTGGGCCGGGCGCTCACCACTCCATGACGATGAGCAGACACTTCCTCCCCTGGTAGAGGTTCTCGTAGACGTCCATGATGCGCACGATGTGCGCGCACTGCGACGCTCGCCAGTGCAGCTCCACTTCCCTGCGGGCCTTGGGGCAGTCCTGCAGCATCTGCGGGAGAAGGGACACCCTGTCAGCCCCGAGACACCCCCGGGCAGCAGGGTCATGACCCCCGGCTGGCACCGTGGCCACCAGAGAGGACGCGGGGGCGAGGGCAGGGCGCTCCTGCGGGCGCAGAAGCGCTCTGGCAATGCCTCCATCCCCATCTAGTGGGAACTCTGAGAAGACGTTTGCCCTCAGCTTGCCCTTCCTCCCGAGGTTCATAAAAGCTTATTCGGGCTGCCTGCCACCTCCCAGTGCACCACCAGCAAGATCTACTGCACTAATGAGCCACTGTGCACCCTGATACCTGCAGCACTGCACCCCGGGTGCCACCGAGCATCCTCACCCTCACCTTTGCTTTGCTGTCCCCATCATCTCCCAAACTTCAGCCTGCTGCTCCAGACAACAAAAACTCCCTTACCACAAATTCAGAGCCCAGTAGCACCCGTGTCTGGGGAGGGAACAAAGCAAGCATCCAGATGTTCCCTAAATTACAGCTCTTTAATGAGCCCCCTGCCCTTCCCAAAGACAGCTCAGAGTTCCCAGGTGCAGGAAGGATTTGTTTGTCTGCCACAGACTATTAGTTATGATGTTTGTCAGGATAAACAGCCAGCCTTAATTATTGTGTTCCTAAATATAGAACAACAAGCGTGTCTATCTTGAGCACAGTTCATTTTCCTTCCTGTCTCCAGCAGCCTTTGGGGCCGGGCTCAGCCTCTGGAGCAGCTCTGCCCCTTGGAGCAGAGCGAGCAGGGGGATGTGGAAGCACACCCCCACCCTGCAGGAAACAGCAGGTTTGGTCATTTCACCAAGATTTAGACAGAAAAGTCCTTCTGACCCCTCTGAACTCCCCCAGAAGAGCAGAGGAGCATCAGCCCTGGGATGCTTTGCAGGACCCAGGGGGGTGCTCAGCACAGTGGGGTGTGGTAATTTCTGAGACCCCCGTCAAAGGGAGGAAATGATGAATCTGACTCCATGTTCTTAAAAGGCTAATTTATTATTTTATGATCTATATTGTATTAAAGAATGCTATACTAAAATTATACTAAAAATAATATAGATATAATGAAGAATATCTATAATATCTATATCTATAGAATATCTAGAATAAGAATATCTATACTAAAGAACAGAGAAAGGATACAGACAGAAGGCTAGAGGATACTAAATAAAAACCCGTGACTCCTTCTTCAGAGAATGCGACACAGCTGGCTGGAATTGGCCAACAAATAAAAACAATTCACATGCAACCAATGAAACAAGCACCTGTTGGATAAACAATCTCCAAACCACATCCCAAAGCAGCAAAACACAGGAGAAGCAAATGAGATAATATTGTTTTCCTTTTTCTCTGAGGTTTCTCAGCTTCCCAGGAGAGAAATCCTGGGCAAGAGATTTTTCCAGAAAATATGACGGTGACAGTGGGGATCTCACAGAAACAATAATTAACTCCCAAAATCCACACAGAGCCCGTTTCCAGATGAAACACTCCCTGATGGTGCTGCCCTGGCAGAGTAACCCTACCCAGAGCAGCAGCTCTTTGCCACGGGGAAGGGCACAGCCAGGCTGTGCCCTTCAGCCACCCACCCAAAACACCATCCCCAGCTCTGGTCACCCCTCTCCCACCTCCCCAGGCAGAGGAAACCTGTGGGAACCTGTGGCACGCTGCTGGCACCCAACCACCAGAAGCTCTGCAAGGAGCAAAGTGGCCAAAGCCAACCTTTGCACAACCTGACATGGCTCACCCCAGCAGCCTCAGGGCAAAGGAAGACAGGGCAGGAGGCTGGACGCCCTCTCCTCGTTCCTCTATTGCTTAATTACCCTAAAAACTGCATCCTGCAGGAGCCAAAACCATAAGCAAGGGTAACATCAGCCCCCAAGGAGCCGTGCAGAGGGCACTGCAGAAAAGCCTGGCTATTTGCAGCCCCATTCTGAAGAGCCTGGCGTGGGGAGCCAGGAAGCTGAGGAGAAAAGAGAAAAACAAAACAATTTGTAATTATGCACCGGGAAAATGGACCAGCAGGAAGCAGCTAGTTAACATCATTCTGCACAAAGACAAACAGCAGAGGTACAGCAAAATACATCCCATTTTTAGAGGTCACTCTGAGTGCTTTTATAGGAGATTAATTGGATTTCTAATGAAGTAGGAGGCAGCAGCCTCCATTACCTGCACCAGCACAGCCCTGATGTTTGTTTTTGTACCCAGGCAAGCTCTGGGAGCAAAGAGCTGCCCCGGGGTTCTCAGAACACCCAGCTGTGATCCAGCTGCTCCCTCCATCCCCTGCTGGCTTTGCAAGGACAGGTGATGGAGAGGCTTCAGTAGGAGCAAATTAGGCCTTGTTAAGGCAATAATTTGGTTAATTTAGGAAGTATTCCTGGTAGCAGCAGTGTGAGGGGGAGCTGAAGGCCAGATGCACACCCCACTGCTGCTGCCAGAAGGACATGGAAAGTATAATTGACTCTTATGACCTAACACTGTCAGGTTGTAAGAATATTTCCTCTATGATTTTAATGAACTCTCACTATATTTTATGATATTAAGAAAGCTGATAAGCCCAGAAACACTTATAGTGTATTGTAATCAGGAAATAGCTGGCTTCTGATTGTGATGGTGTGAATTGTAACACGTGTATTGTCTCACCCTTCTCATGAGACTGAAAATGGAATAAAAGCTTTTAAAACACCTCTCAGTGCCCCATCTCTGGCTCAGAAAAGATCATAATCCAACAGACAAGCCATGGCAGAGGCAGCCCACAGCCCCAGCAGCACCCCAAAGCTCCTGCCCTCAGCACAGGCTCCCTGTGCCCTGGGGTGCCAGGAATGTGCCATGGCACAGCAGTGGGGCAAGAGCAGCAGTGCCATCAGCCTGTCCCCTTCAGTGGGAGCCAGCAGCTCCAGAGCTGCCAGCCTTCCCTCCCACTGCCCAGCCAGCAGTGGAAGCTGGGGTGGGTGATGTCCTGTCCACATCCGAGGTGTCTGGGGTGTGACAACACTGCCCACGCCCCAGTCCAGCTCTGGTGCCCAGGGCAGCCCGTGGCTGAGGCAGGATTTGTGCTTCTTGGCTCCCAACAGGGAGGCTGGGATGGGAAAATCACCTCGTGTTTCCCCCGAGGTGCAGCAAGGATGAATGCCCCCATCCCACCCCAGCTGATTTTTCAATCCAGTAATCTGGAGCACAGCCAGGGTTAACCCTTCCATGGCCAAGCTGCTGACTGCAGACAGCTGCTCAGCTTCTCCAGCTCTCACCTCCTGTTCCCCTTCCAAAGAAGGGCTCTTTGGAGATCCAAGTGTTCATTATTTCAGAGGGAAAAAGCTGTCCTTCCTGCCGGAGAGGAGGGCTCCTGCCGGAGGGCAGTAACCGGATCCCGCGTTACACAAGTGTCCTGGCAGGGCACAAGGGCAGCGCTGGGGAGAAGCTCTGCCAGCACCTCCGAGCAAACCCGGCCAGCGGCCAGGCAGGAGGAGCTGCATCCCTCTGCTGGGTGCTCCAGGTGCTCAGCATCTCCAGACACCAGCTCCTCATCACAGAGCACCCCAGGGTCCCTTCAGCATGGCAGGGGACAGGGCACTGCCTGAGCTGTGCCAGCCCAGGGCTCTGCCCCATCCCATCCCTGCTTCCCGTGGGCACCTCCCTGCAGGAAAGGAGGGGGAGCAGGGAAAGAGCCACTCCACCCTGCTGGCGATTCGGGAGGAAATTCAGCTTTCAGCCGCATTCCAGCTCCCCTCCCAGCAGCCTGACACCTCTGAGATTTGGGCAGACAGCGTTTGCTGCCATCCTGAGCCTTGGCTCAGCCCAGCTCCCCCAGGAGCCTTTCCATGCTGCGAGAGAAATTAGTTCTGTGCTCCTCTAAACGCCCTCATTAGCTTCATTAGAGCTCCCACACTGCTGCCATCAGAGCATGGCACAGCCCAGCCTGATGTGCTCAGGACCCCGAGGGCAGCAAAGGCTCCTCACGAGCTCCAGCAGCACCTCCGGGCTCTTCCCCACCTTGGAAACACAAACCCTGGAAGCAGCTCCTGAAAACAGAACAGCTCAGCGGGGCTTCTGCAGGGGAACAGCACCCCCTGAGCAAACCCAAACCCAGGCCCCAGCCTGGTCCTGCAGCATCAAAAATCAGCCTCAGCTCCAAGGAAGAGCTCAGCACCACATGGGGCACAATGTCACCCCCATCACCTCAGGACAGGCACAGCACAGGTGGGTGAGGAAGGGAAGGAAGGGAGGAAGGAAGGGAAGGAAGGGAGGAAGGGAGGGAGGGAGGGAGGGAGGGAGGAAGGAAGGAAGGAAGGAAGGAAGGAAGGAAGGAAGGAAGGAAGGAAGGAAGGAAGGCAGGAAGGCTCTGGAGCAAAGCAGGGGCTGGAGCTGCCCACGCTCACGTTCCTCTCCCGGCGTGTCCTCAGGCACCACTGATTCAGTCCCGCCGCCTCCTCCTGGGATGATGTTCCATGAGTCATGACAGGTTGGAAAAGGAAGCTCCCTCCTCCCCTGGCACGGCAGGAGGTCGCTGAGGACACTGTCCCACTGTCCCTCCTGTCCCACTGTCCCTCCTCACTGTGGGTGCCACCCCAGCCCCAAACGCTGCTGCCCCTCGGCGAGCCAAGCACACTCAGAGGGGCAAGGCATCCCTGCAAGAGGGAAAACTCACCTCCCACGGGCAATTCCCATGGAAAGTGAGGGTCAGGCTCACACTGGGGTGTTGAGCTGTCCATTTTCCAGGGCTGCCCCACGCTCACCCCGGGCTCTCCAGCTGCTCTTGCAGGCAGGGTGGTTTTATTTCCATGCCAATTTTGATCCCACCCTATTCTCCTCAGTCCCCAGCAGAACAGAACAGGCCTTGCAGCACCCACCCCTCCAACAGGGTGTTGTACCCAGGCCCCAACCACCCCAGCAGCCCCTCTCAGAACCTGTCTGCACCACAGGGGTTAAAAGAAACTCTTCTTGAGTTGCAGTAAGAATAAACCTACAGCGAAGAGAGGCAGGCTGTCATCCCCCAAATTATCAGCAGGGAAGC